TCTGTCTCTCATGAATAAATAAATAAAATCTTTAAAAAAAAAAAAAGAAATATAACCTAAGGCTTTTTCACTAAAACCTTCCAGAGACTTTTTAGAAAACCCACTGTATTAAGGTATAATTCACACACCATCCCCAGTACACTTAGGGAAAGTGTACAGTTCCGCACTCTCGAACATAGTCTCAGGTATGTTCAACCATCATAATTTTCGAGTATTTTCATAACCTCAGAAAGGAACCTGTACCCTCCAGCCGTCACTCATCTCCCCCAGCCTCTTCCCAAACCACTAGTCTACCTTCTGTCTCTATAGATTTGCCTATTCTGGACATCGCATATAAATGCAATCACACAATTTGTGTCTTTTGTGTCTGGCTTCTGTCCCTGAGCATAATGCTCCCAAGATCCATCCATGTTGTAGCATGTGTCAGCACTTCATTCCTTTTTATGGCTGAATAATGTTCCATTGTGTGGATGTGCCACATTTTGTTTATCCATTCATCAGTTGAAGGACAGTTGGGTTGTTTCCACTTTTTGGCGATTATGAAGAATGCTGCTGTTCACATTGGTTTACAAGTTTTTACGGGTGTATGTTTTTATTTCTCCTGAGTATATACTTAGGAGCAGAATTGCTGGCGGGGTGTCTTAGTCTTTTTAGGAGGCAAAGTACCACAGACTGGGTGACTTATAAACAACAGACATTTATGTCTCACAGTTCTGGAGGCTGGAAGTCCAAGATAAGTCACCAGCATGGTCGCCTTCTGGGAGCGCCCTCTTTCTGGTTCAAAGCCAGTGCCTTCTTGCTGTATCCTCACATGGTGGAAGGGGCTAGGGGTCTCTCTGGAGCCTCTTTTATAAGGCATTATCCCCTTCACGACAGTTCCACCCTCATGACTTAAGAATCTCCCAAAGGCCCCACTTACTGTCTCCCCGGGGGGAGGAGGGTTGGGGGAGTTAGGATTTCAACACATGAATTTGGGGGGTGGGACTCAAACATTCAGGTCATAGCACTGGGCCATACGATAACCCTGTGTTTCACATTTTGAGGCACTACCAGATAGTTTTCCACAGGGCTGCTCCATTTCACATTCCCACCAGCAGTGTGTGAAGGTTTCCATTTCTCCACACCCTTGCTAACACTTGCTATGTCTGTATTTCTTCTGTCAGCCATCCTAGAGGGTGTGAAGTGGCTATTTTGATTTGCATTTGCCTGATGCCTAATGATGTTGAGCATCCTTTGATGTGCTTAGTGACTGTTGTACCCACTGCATTTTTTTAATTGTAACATATAGCTTCTGTGCAAAAAAGCACACAGGACATTTACATTGATTTAAAAGAAGAATTATAAGGCACCCAGGTGGCTCAGTCGTTAAGCATCTGCCTTCGGCTCAGGTCATGATCCCAGGGTCCTGGGATGGAGCCCCACATCGTGCTCCCTGCTCAGCGGGAAGCCTGCTTCTCCCTCTCCCACTCCCCCTGCTTGTGTTCCCTCTCTTGCTGTGGCTCTCTCTGTCAAATAAATAAAATCTTTAAAAAAAATAAAAGAAGAATTATAAAGCATCCGTATCAAGGAACAGACATTGCCGGCACCCCAGAACCAGGTGACCCCTGTCAACCACAGCCCCTCGCACCCCACCCCGGAGACAGCCACCGTCTTGATATTTGTGACCCTCATTTCTTGATTTCTTATTGTGACCCTCATTTTTTGACTTCTTATTATAACTTTCCACCTCTGTAGGTGCCCCCGAACAATACAATCTACTTTTGAACTTGTTATAGATGAACTCATTCCATGGACGTCTTTTCCAATTGCTTTTTTCCCTCCCCACTGTATTTCTGAGCTTGACCTCTGTTGGTGGGCTTTGCTGTAGCTGTTCACTGTCACTGTCCTGTAGTGTCCCGCTGAGCACACCCCTCAGCTTATCCATCCCACCATGGCTGGACATATGGAGAGTGCCCAGTGTGAAGATACCATGAAACCACACTGGGCACTCTCCACATGTCCTTCAATGCTGCTGCTATGAACGTCCTTGAACCTGTTTCCTGTGCACACAAGCATATGATTCTTTCAGGTATATGCCTTGGAAGTGAAATTTCTGAGCCATAGGTCAGCATATCTTATTAGACACCGTGCAGTGTAGGCACACCCGCCGGCCGTGCTGAGGGTTCTAGGTGCCCCGCATCCTCAGTATCGTCTGAATCCGTTCTGAGTGTCCCCCAGCACGTGTGTGTTGAAATCTCTGACTGCACTGCAATCCCAGTCAGTCGGAACCTGCTGCCTAACGCTGCCCCCAAAGCGCATCGCCACACCCCTGAGCCTTGCTCTTTTCCCACGCTTCTCAGGCCCAGGCGGGGAGGAGGGCTGGACGCTTAGGAACTATCTCCTCACTGACAACCAGAAGGGACATCTGTGTTATCTGGGGGGCTGCTCATCCAGTAGCAGCTGCGCGTGTGTGCAGGTCGTATGAGGACGACAGCACACAGTAGGTGCTCTGTCACACTAGGTGTCCTGGAATCAGAGCATTCTGCCAACTGAAATCTCTGTCCCTGAACATTCTGGATGCTTGTGGCATTGCTGGCTCATTTGATTCCAGATACTGTGGTTGAAACAGGGTGGTGCTCCCTTCCCGTTGAGTCCACTGACCCAAGCACTGGTCACCTCCTCCTGGAAGCAGAGCTCCCAGGACTGGGAGGACCCTGAACAGGAGCCCATCCTTGGAGACAGGAAACTTATCTTGTCACCACTGTGTCCCCAGCACCCATACCGGCCCAGGCCTAGAGGCAGAGCTAATGACTATTTTTTGAATGTCTGATTCTGTTCCAGCACGCTGGCTTTTGCCAAGAAAAGATGGAATTGACTTCATTCCATGTTTCAGTGAAGGCGGCTGAGGCCCAGAGAGGGGGTGTGACAATTCCAAGGTCACAAAGCAAGTCAGCAGAGCCACCAAGCAGTTGATTCGCAACCCTCAGCAGTAAGAAGACCCTTGCCTCTGAATGCCCCACAGACCAGCTCCAGGACTTAGCTGAGCCTCAGTTTTTACCCCTGTAAAATGGAATCATATTAACCTCATAGAGTTAAATAATGCCACATACGAAAACATGGGCCCAGTGCGTGTACAGGTGATCAATAAATGTTCAGTCATTTACTCATTAATCCACTTTTTTTCCCACTCTATAACAGGCAAAGTTAATTTGCCAGTCCAGATGAAGACCATGAAAATGCTCATACACTGTGACCCAGAAACTATGCTCACTAATACATCCCCATCCCAGTGCCTGGTACACAGTAGGAGCTTCATAAATGTCTGTTGGAATAAAATCGGGCTGAAGATGATGAAAAAGGAAGAGAAGCTTTAGTTCCAAAGATACTTCCTTCTATAATATAGTTTAAACAAAGAAAGAAGGCAGGGAGAGAAAAGATTTTAAAAAGAACAAACCCCAAAGCCTGAAAACAACCTAAATATCCAGTACCACGGGGGTTTGGTAAATGTTGCTTTCTTTGCTTGCAGGGATATTCCAAGGCAGGGGTCAGCAAACTATGGCTCACGGGCCAACTGCCCGTGTACCAGCCATTAATTTTGCCTGTCCTTGAACTTCGTATCAGTGGAATCACACAGTCAGTTCTTTCTGGCATCCAACTTCTCTCACTCAGCATTACATCTTAGAGATCTGTTCTTTTTGTGTGTATTATTAGTTCATTCTTTTCTGCTGCAGTCAGGTGCTTCATTGTATGATTACAATTAGTTACAATTACCATCCATCCCCGTTTTGCATACGGGGAAACTGCAGCACAGAGGACTCAAGAAGTTGCCCAAGGGCACACAGCAGGCTGGTGTTAGATCTAGGATTTAAACCCAGGGTCCAGCATCTGTGCTTTTCGGGGGTTCACCGTATAGTGCTGCATCTCAGTGCTATGGCAATGGGAGCCTGAGGGGAACTGGGAACTCAGAAGAAGAGGCCCACCGTGTAGCCTGGAGGTCAGGGAAAGCTGCCAGGGAAGGCTAAATCAGAGCCAGGGTTCCCAGCCTCGGGTGTTCACCGTGCCTGGCAGATGTCATAAGTGGTCAAAGCAGATGACCTCTGAAAATACATACTCGAGGTCAGGGAGGCGATATGGAGTGGTGGGTACTGTGACAGATTGAGGGATGCCAGCCTGGGAAGGAGGCAGCTGCTGGGACAGCTCCAGGTGTTGCTGCCATGTGACAGTGCTGGCAGAGGCTGCGGGGAGCAGGACTGCCATGCTGCCATTGGTGGCCAGCTGCCCCCCCCGTAGGTCAGTCCTCAGCTGTACCCATTAGTAAATGATTTGAATCTCACCCTAGAGTTGCCAGATGCCCTTTCTGTTTGCCAAAACGCAGAAACTAACCAACCAACCAACCCCGGAAGTCTATCTGCTGGTTTTTAAATGTTGGTTCAAAAATTATTTTAAACCTGTGCAGGCCAGGGGCGCCTTGGTGGCTCAGTCGGTTAAACCGTCTGCCTTCGGCTCAGGTCATGATCCCGGGGTCCTGGGATCAGGTCCTGCGTGGGGCTCCCTGCTTAGTGGGGAGTCTGCTTATCCCACTTCCTCTGCCCCTCCGCACTGCTTGTGCTCTTGCTCTCCATCTCTCTCTCTTAAATAAATAAATAAAATCTTTAAAAAAATAATAAAAAATAAATAAAGCTGTGCAGGTCAAAGAGAACCCTCTGTGTGCCCTGGACTGGCCTGAACTGACCTGAGCACCAATCTAAGGACCAGATAGGAGTTGGGAGGGGCCGGGAGAGCAAGTGAGCTCCAGGTAGAAGCACAGCACAGAGGCCAGGGGTGAGAGGGATTTGAATCCAGGTCTGAGATCCCCCCACTACAAGGAACCACAAAAGCCCGAGCTGGGGAGGCTGGGCGGGGCTGGGCGGGGCTGGGCGAGGCTGGGCGGGGCGGGGCTGGGCCGGGTTGGGGGCCGCCCCGGGCCGCTGCGTGCAGTGTGCAGTGACGTGTGCTGTGCTCTTCCCCGCCCACCCCTGCAGATCCTGGAGGAGAACATGAAGCTGGAATGTAAGTGCCACGGTGTGTCCGGCTCGTGCACCACCAAGACATGCTGGACCACGCTGCCGCAGTTCCGGGAGCTGGGCTACGTGCTCAAGGACAAGTACAACGAGGCTGTCCACGTGGAGCCCGTGCGAGCCAGCCGCAACAAGCGGCCCACCTTCCTGAAGATCAAGAAGCCGCTGTCGTACCGCAAGCCCATGGACACAGACCTGGTGTACATCGAGAAGTCGCCCAACTACTGCGAGGAGGACCCGGTGACAGGCAGCGTGGGCACGCAGGGCCGCGCCTGCAACAAGACCGCCCCGCAGGCCAGCGGCTGCGACCTCATGTGCTGTGGCCGCGGCTACAACACCCACCAGTACGCCCGCGTGTGGCAGTGCAACTGCAAGTTCCACTGGTGCTGTTATGTCAAGTGCAACACCTGCAGCGAGCGCACCGAGGTGTACACGTGCAAGTGAGCCCGCGACTCGGCGGCTGGGTGCTTCCAGCCGCAAGTCAGACTGCAGGGGGGACCGGACAGCTTCCGGCTGCAGTCAACCTGGCAGGTCTCGTCTGGGATCTCCGCGGGGGAATGCTGAGCTTGTCTTTTCTGCTGTGGGGACACCTCTCCTGGGTTTTCCGCAGGCGCCCGGTGGAAAGATCTCCCCAGAGCCCTGGACTGTTCTCTTCCACACCCAGTGCTGCTCCGCCCCACCCCACACACCGCCTGGGGGGGCCTCCCCGGCTGGAGCAGAGCCTTTTGCACCAGGAGCTCTGGGCCCTGGGGCCTCAACATAGCAATATTTAACAATTTATTCTGATAAAAAATAATATTAATTTATTAAATTAAAAAAGAATCCTCCCACCTCATCGGGATCCGTTTTCTGCAATCAAAGTGGACTGCTTGCTTTCCTTGCGGGATAATTTTGTCGCTAGGACAAGGAGTCAAGTAGAACTGTACATAATTATCCTTTATGCAGATATTTCTACTAGTTGATTTTGCAAGTACCCCCCCCTTGCAGCACTAGATGTTTAAGAGCAGACGTCCTTTATACATATATAGATATATATACACACACGTTTATATTTTTTTGCTGTTTGCTGCTACTTATCCAGAAATTTAAGCTGGTCCAGATTTGGAGTCGTCTCCCAGATTATGATTCCCATCCTTTAGTCCTCCCCAGCTCAAACTTACACCAGTAGAAGAATCCAGTTTGGAATACAGAGAGAGAGGAAAGATAATAATAAAACTCCCAGCAGTTTCCATCTTTTGGAAAGTGAGCCACTGGATAAGAGAGAATATTTTGTAAGAGACTATTTTTATATGAATATTTTATTTATATCAAGTCTGCCTGTATGATTCCATGGCCTGTGCTTCTTCTTAATTCTGGTACTTGCTTTGGGCTAAGGAGGAGCGAGGCCTGGTTCCCATAGGGACCCTCACATAGCTGGGTTCTCGAGTTCTGTTGGCCAAGCGGGCAGAAGTGGCCCCTGGATGCCTGGGTTGGGGGTGTCATTGGTATTACCTGAGAAAAGAATCAGATCCCCAGCCTACGCCTTTTGAGCTAGGTCACCATGATGAGCCATGTGGCGGGCAGGCCCATGCCCTTGGCATTGGGTGACCATTAGAGGGCTTGATGGTTCACCACACGGCAAAAATCAGCTCAGGAAGCCCGCTCCTCACCAGGATGCCCCTCCCATTGCCATGTGTCCTGACAGGTGAGGCACAGTCCTCAGTTATGGAGCAGAAAAACTGGGGTGAGGGGTCCCATGAGCAGCAGAGCTCGGCAGGGCTTCCTGGATGTCACGGTTCTAGAGCAGACCGGCAGAGAGTTGTGGATGAGGCCTCTCTGCTCTGGGTCCACCTATATCCAGTGCCTGCCAACCTGCAAAGCTCTCCTCCAAGAGGCTGTGGGTGTTCTAATATGTGTCCGTTTGCATTTCTGTGTGCACGTGTGTGTGTGTGTGTGTGTGTGTGTGTGTGTGTGTGTGAGACCTCCGGGAGTCTTGGGGTAGTCACGTGACTTTGCACCTTCAAGCACCTCTGGGGTGCTGACGTGCCTACATTGTGTGTTCTCCTGCATATACCCAGCTATGTGTGTGTCTCTCTCCATGTGCCTGAGAGATTCAGGGGGGTGTGTGCATGTGGGTGTGTGCCTGTGCATCTGCTGGTCCCCAGGTGTCTCTGCTTGCGGGTGAGGTGTGGTGTGAGGCAGACTACAGGGACCTTTGGCGATTGTGTTGAGCCACCAAGAGATGGCACCTCTGAACTCTGTGCCCACAGACACTGGTGAAACTCAGATACCTCTGAGACCACAGCCTGATGGCCCCACGCACTGGGAGCCCCTCAGTGTCTAGGCTGTGTTGGACTCCCCAATGTCAGCACTGGGCCTGGATCACAGCATGGACAAATAAAATGGCTGGATGGTTGGTTGATTTCTTCCATTGGACCATTTATTTCTTCTTTACTTGGGTGTCAGGATGGGTAAGGATGTGAAGGAATGAGTGGATGGATGGATAGCTGGATGGATGGGTGAGTGGGTGGATGGATGGATGGATGGATGGATGGATGGATGGATGGATGGATGGTGGAGTGGGTAGGTGGGTGGGTAAGTAGATGGGTGGATATCTGGATGGGGGAGTGGGTGGGTGGTTGGGTGGATAGGTAGGTAGGTGGGTACGTAAGGGAGGAGAAAATACACAGAAGCTTCTTATAGATCCCATGTTACAGTCTGTCTCTGTCTTAGAAAACCAGAGTCTACCATGAGCAAAGAGAGTTTCCAAGCTTATAGTCCCTCTGTTCCTGGCCTCATGGTGCCCAAGATTTGGGAAGGTTCTGACCAGCCTCCCCAGATACCAGAAATTACCCCCATGACCTTAGTCAGATGAAGAGTGTGTCTGGCTTGAGGGCAGCAAGGCCTACGAGAAGAAGGGCCAGGTTGCCTGCCAGCCTGTCACCTGGCCCCTTAGCACACTTGTAGTTCCTGACCCTGGGCCTGCTCCCTCTCTGATGTCCCCAGCTCAGTTGAGCTCTGAGCCTCAGTTTCTCCATCTGTAAAAGTAGGATAATAATATTTACATCACGGGGTCCTTCTAGTGGTGATTGTATGGCACTTTGAGTTGCAGAGCAATGGATGAATGATAAATATTATTATTATTAATGAATACTATTCTTTCCATAATGACGAGATTCTTCAAACACAGTGGTAAAAAATATTGGGCACTGTCTTGGGCAAAGTTATTTCCCCCTCTTTGGTTTATTCCTAAAATGGCTTTTCAATAAAGCGGACAGGAAAAAGGCCCACATCTTAAGAGACTGAATCAAAAATTTAAGTAAAATCCCCCACCTTTTTGGTATTTTGACAAACACCATGAGGATGGTGCAGGCTGCAAGCTGAATTCGGCCTTTGGACCACCAGCATGCAGCCTCTGATTTGGACGAAAACTCTCATTTTACAGATGGAGAAACTGAGGCCTAGAGAGGAGCAGGGCTTTAGGCAAGGGCACGCAGCAAGTCTAGCAGAAAGAAGACCAAGGGTGGGACTTGTGCCTCCTGGGAAAGGCCTTTCATCAACACGGTGCACCCTAGCAGCAGCAAAACAGTTTGGAGGGGGCTCGGGAAGGGTAAATTTCCTATTTGTTGTTCAGACATACATATACATGCATACAGGTGTGTGCACACACATTCCCGCATCCTCTGGACTTAAGTTTAAACCTAGTCCAAGGCTCCACAGGGCAGGATCTGGGCCTTCCCAAGGGCCCCGAAGGGATAGGCCTGCAGGGGGCGCCGCGGCAGCTGGCGCAGGGAATCCTAAATCCTCCCATTCCCCCCTGTCCCAGAGCCTCACCTTCTCCACCTCTGTCAGCTGTCTGGTCCGGGACTCAGTCTTGGGTCTTATCTTCCTCTACGCCCCATCGATCAGCAAATCCCATTAGTCTATGTCAAAATACACCCAAATCTGACCGCTCTCTGTCAGCACAGCCAGCAGACTTTGGTGGCAGAGTCTGGCTACGTTCGCACCATGCTGGGGTCCTCTTGTTCCAGGTCATATTGCTGGAGCACGCTTCGGTCTCCCTTGCAGTTGAGAGTGGCCGGGGAGCTGGGCTCTGGACCACGAAGTGGGGGTGATGTGCTCCACTCCCAGCCCATCAACACTTAGCATGCTCTTTGTCTTCCACAAGCCTGACCCAGCCACCCAGAGGCCATAGAGTATGGGCAATGGAACCACAGAAGGAAAGACTCCGAACTGTCCCTGAATGGCCACTTTGAGGAGAGCCACCTTCTGATCAGGAACACTGACAAGCAAAAGTATACATATTATTGTGGAAGCCGCTGAGATTTGGCAGTTCATCTGTGACAGCACAGAGCCCCTCCCTCACGAGGCTCCAGCTCGTGGCCTTCCTTCTGTTCTCCCAAATGTGCCATGTTCCGTCCTACCTCTGGGCCTTTGCATCTGCTGTTCTTGCTGACCTTTGCATGGCTGGCTCTTTTTAGTTAATAAGACTCAACTCCAATGCCAACTCTTCAATAGTACAATGCCAGCGACCCTGGCTTCCAACACCTTATGTCCACTATTGTTGTTTCTTTGTGGCATTTACCATGATATTGAATGGTATTTCTCATTTATTAGTGGCTGTGCAGATTAGCGGTGAAGAACATGGGGCCAGATGCCCTGTGTTCAAACTTGCCTCTGCTGTTTTCTGCTGTGTAGTTTAGAGCAAGTAACCTAACCTGTGCCTGCATTTCCCCATTTGTAAAATGGGGACAGTAATAGAATCAGTGCAGTGATTAACTGAACTAACACACACAAACTGGAAAACGCAGTGCCTGGCACACCATCAGGGCTGAGGAAGTGTGAGGCTTGGATATTAATACATTTATTAAGTTTCATGAGTGTAGGACTTCATCTGTCTTTGGTCCACTGGGTGGGTCTCCAGTGCCCAGCCCATAGTTGGGGTTAATAAATCTTTGTTGAATCAGAATGACTGAAGACGTGGAGCCTGTTCTCAGATTCGCCAGGCTCCTGCTTGGGCTCGGGCGAGCTTCTAGAGCTAAGGAGCTGGGGGACGAGAGTTGGCGGGTCCTGAGTGCTCAGGGGCCAGCCGGGAGTGCAGAGACAGATCCAGCTCTTTTAACGTGTTCACAGACACATCCACTCTTTGACAAGGTGGCCACTGGTTGCCACAACGACGTTCCTGGCCCCAGAAGAATGTGCTGGAGGCAACAGCAAAATTTTGCTGCCATCTTCCAGCTTAGCCTCCAAGATACCCAGCCACCCCTGACCCAGAGAAAGCGTCATGGCACAGGCTTGTGGGCGTGCACACGGACCCACGTAGCACATGGACACTGAGCGAGGGACCCAAAGGGACCTGCATGGGGCAAAGGGAGGGACCAAGCACTCACAAAGGGGAAGTGCAGGCCCACATCTGCCATGAACGGAGCCCCAGACAGACCTCACTGGCAGGCCCTGAGGGACAC